TAAGTGGGAGAACTTGTACAATTGGTGGCTGACTAAATACTTTTTTGCCCCACTGTATAGTTTTGCTTGGATACATCTGAAACTGTATTATATTTTAATGCAGCCCTTAGAAAACTTGCACCTAGCACAACTGATCATAACCTTTAATCAGTTTTTTTTCTGGAGGCGCTTCAGGTATGTATACGTGTATATGTGTATGCACACACACATACACACAGAGAGAAAATAAAGTTTTCCATCTCCATTACAAGATCTCATTGAGGCAATCTAATCAAGAAGCAGCATTTTGGATTACTATAATTCAGAAAACAAATGTATTACCAGGAATGGCCCTACCATTAGGCGGAATTAAGCAGTTGTGTGGGCGAGGATCCAAGACAGGTTACCTTCCTGATCTGTCAGCCAGAATCTTAGGTGCAAAGCCTTCCTTATAGCTGATAACCACAGCTAGCTGCACTACGTACATCATTTTGGGAGGTTTCTAGATGACATATTGTGAGGTGGCCAAGGTGACTGAGTGATAGCTCTATAACTTGTCAGATTCAGCCAGCGCAGCACGGCTAGGAACTTGCCCAGCCGTGCTTAGTCAGTTTCACCACTTGAGCGCTAGCAAGGAAAGGGGAAGTGAGAAACTGCAAACTGATTAATGGGCCAGCTGGCGCCGCTTAACTAAAACGCAAGCGGATGCGTTGTGTTAACGCCTGATTGCCACGGGCGCTGTAGACAAAGGGGAGAGCCATGGATTTGAGTTAAAGCAATCAGCTTGTGATTGGGGAACTCCTGGTTTTGCAAGCAACAGAAAGACCCATCGACAACAACACCACCACCAGTGAAGACAGCAATCAAGAACACAAAAGAGCTGGACTGAATCTGCCATTTGAGTAAAGGAGGGATTACTGTGGGTAATCTGTAACCAAGCAACAGGGGTTAAGCATGGGAACGGGGAACTATAAATTGTATTGTAAAATGTGCCAAGCCAGTCCTGGCTTTGTCTGTACAGTGGTACCTCGGGATACGAACTTAATCCGTTCCGTGACTCTGGGCGTATCCCGAGTTGGTTGTAACCCGAAAGAAATT